CAAATCCTTCCATCTTCAATTTCTTCACTCACAATAAATCATTAGCAAAACTAAGTCAGCTGTTATAAACTTTAGAAATATTGCTGTGCCTTATCAATACAGTCTTTTGAAATATTAAAGAAATATATATAGTTTCTTTAATATTGCTGTAAAAAATTTTTTACAAATAATTTAGCATTAAAGACAGCAGACAAAACTAATATGATTATCAAAGCATCAAGGACTAAAATATGTAATAGCAAATACAGTATATGTTTAATTGAATCTCTGATTCTACTCTACAAAAATATCAACAAACAACTCAATATACAAACCAGTTCGTTTAATCAGTTCTATCGTCCATTGCCTTTACATTTTCACACTTACCATTAAGTAAACATAGTAACAGATATTTCAATGATTTTAGAAACAAAAGAACACTGTGTGTTGCTTAGTTTTATTATATTTTCCTTGGTTTAATTTAATCAGTGATGTGGCAAAACACAAATAATAAATGTATGTTATCAAATAAAGTAAATGTGAACTGAAAGCTATGTTAAGATAAAATAAGAGTATTTTGTATTACCATTTGATAATTAAATATAGTTTACACATATACATCAGATTTTAGAAAACAAAAATCAACGACGTTCAATTTAGTTATTGGTGATATTCTTTAGTTTAATTTAAGCATAGGTTTAGCAAAACACAATAACTTAATATATTTAAATATACATATAAAAAACAATGTGATTTGCAAGTTATGTTAAGTTAATCAAACACATGTTGAGCAGTTAGAATTTATTTAAAGTAGCCTCCAAATTCATACAAAACATGTATACATTGTAATTTTCATACCGTTTCCATGAAAACATATCAATAACATTATTTTCATAACTTAGATGCTTTAAAAAATCCAAAGCAGAGCCGGATTTGATACAGCAACGGTTATAGAATCTTTTTTTTCTATAATCATTGACATAGTTTTAGAATAAATAATCCATGATAAAAGGTTAGATTAAAATAAAGCTACTTCATAGTTATGGAAAAGATTATATTTAATTTCTTTGTATCAGCTGTCTGAAATTGTGAAATATGCAGTTTAGCAGTTCTTCTTGTTTACATTTAAATGTCAAAGAAAATGTAAATAAACATTGTTAGTGTTCTCATCGCAGCCTTGGAGACCAATCAATATTTACTTTTAAAATGTTCACCTTAGAACTTTTAAAGCCAAAGGGGCAAAGCCTACGGTCAGTATCGAAATGTGAATAGTCCTATAATGGTCCTTGGTATGGTAGCTATATTTTTGTAAAATTTAAGCCCAGTTGGTTCAGTAGTTTTTGCACCTATTAGTAACACACATACAGACAGACACCATTAGATTTTTATATACTGTAATAGTATAGATATCATTCTGCAAGTAATTTAAAGTTGAAATGTTTATTTGCGTTATTCGATCAGCTGAAACTATTATGAATGAAATTAATCAACACAAACGAATATTTACTTCTCAAATCCGATTGAATTGTTTTTACTGCATCAATGGTGACCAACATATTTGGTGTGTGTCTTCTACGATCAATAACTCCGTAGATGAAATCATATTATTCACATTAAATAAGTCTAAACAAGAACAAGTCAAAAGTAAGTACCGCATTCTTTAGATTTTATTTCTTTATTTGCGTCATGGCCTTCATTTTGACATACCTACCAACCGTTCTATGTATATTTAAAAATGCTATCCTCAAATATCACGTCTTATATTTTCTTTACGGTTTCAATGAATTGGTTTTTGTTGTGTTGATTTTGTTACCGACAAGAAACAAAACCAACTGGTTTATACAACGCTCTGTTGTATGCATTCGTGTTTCCCTAAACCCTTTAGGTTAGTTACTTCATAAACCCGTGCTAAAGAACTCTTATCATCATGTTGATGAGAAACCTAAGCATTATCCAACATTGGTTGTAGTTCACTTAGGGCACTATGAAAGCGAAGTTGGCAGACTCCGGTCAAACTGTTATACTACGCAATAGTAAGTTTAACTATCTAAAATGTAGAACCACAACATTCCCGAAAATATTTCTGAATTAGGGACCCATACTTAAATCAACGATGTACTTACTACGCATAATTAACTATATGTATGTTTTGTACCTCAATAAGTGGAATTTTAGAAGTACTCAGTGCGAATCGCACGGAAAGGTTAGTGAATTTCTAAATATGACATGTTAGCTTTGAATCGGAAGTTTGTGCATGCAGTAAGTTAAAATTTAAAAGTTGTTTCAAGAACTACAGTAGTATTATTCCAAAGAAACCCATTACAACTACAGTATTAACATCTCAACTACTTGTACTAATCATAGTTTTCTTTCAAGATTTTTGTTTCTTGTCTTGGCTAATGTACAGTTATATATCTTTGTAGGTCTTTCTTTTCATATTTTATTTCATAATCTCGTCATGTTTTACTTTCTTACCTGTTGTTTTACTCGAGGACGGGATAAAATTCCTTATCCCGAAACGTCTTACAAACTTTATTTTTACAAATCCTTACGGAAAATTTCTGTAATGATAACATATGCGTAACACCACCAATTGTTAACTTCAACAAATAATTCAAACATATTGTCTTTCAGTTAAAAATACAGTTTCCAGGTTTTTTGTATTGAACTAATTAAAAGTGAATGGACGATTACAGCATACTATATGGACTGTGAACTACCAACTACAGCATCTTTTATGCCACATCTCGCTATATCAGTAGCAAAAACTACGGTTTAAAATGTAATTTTAGACTGAAGCACAATCTTTGAGCGTCTCATTCGGCTTTATACATTTCCCGCTGCAGCAAACCTGCAGACTAAGCGAATTGCAATCCGTCTGATTGGATTTCTACTAAAACATTTCCATAAACAATACATGTTTATTCCCCATTTAAATAACATTATATTTAATAAATACCTAGGTTTGCTGCTTCAGGGAAGTTAAAAAGTGGGGGTTTGTCCAAATGGTAATAGTATAAAATGAAATAAGTAAATTTGCCAAGTTTAATCAACTCACATCCATATGCAAGCAAACAACAGTTTTCTTTTTCTCCATAAGAATATCATGAGAATCTTATGTGTTTTTTTTAGTCCGTAACGTTTAATTTTACAACATTCCAACAATTCAATATACAAAATTGTTTTTTTTAACATCTACATTATGGTTGTATTAAATACTGTTGATTGTATTGAGGGAATTTCCGTAGGAATAAATCAGTACATGACTTTTTGTACGAGATGGCATTTGGCGGTGGTTAGAGGAAGATATATAGGGCCCAGGTATCTTCATTTACACACATACTACACCACATCATCACAATGTCGTAACCTGGAACGAATCCAAAAACAATGCTAATGCAAAGTAACAAAAAAAAATACTTATGCGGTTTCTCAAATAACTGAGGCATATTGAACAAGGGCCAGGTACAACAAACCATCAAAAATCTACTCATTTTTCTCAAGGTTGAATTGACGACTTCTGACTACATACTATGAGAGTGCTGTAACTACTAAGCTATCTATGATGGATACAATTTCCGTTACAACTCACTATTTGCCGATCACACCACTTGTCTGTCATCTTAGTATTAATTAACCAAAAATGTGTGTTAAATGTTTTCGTGTTCTAGTCTTCTTGTGATGTTACATGTATATTTTTGACGATATGACCAACCTGTAAAGGCACCAATTGTAACTCTATTTGGTACAAAACTGGAAATATACCTTTTCATTCAAAACCATTGGTCCGTCACAAAATCAAGAATCGCCGGATGATATTTTGTTCACCTTTAAATCTAAACCTGTGACTGTAGAATTTAAATCTAGTAAACCTTCGATACGATCAGAAATACTTTTGAAAACTCTGTTGACTGAATTAGCAAATGAAGACCTGTTTGCTTTCCATATCTGAGATGATTGGCTTGTTCCAATGACAACTCAGATTTGAGTGATCTACGTTTGTTCAGAGCTGTTCTCTTGTTTATTCAGATTCTCTAATCAACTAATTTATTGACCACAGGAAGAATATTTGTTTGTGGGTTGATCCGTTGCGTTTCCACCCCTCTTCATATTCTTGTCCTAGATAGATGGGCCCTTGACTTGGAGGGCACGAAGAAAGGCATTACCAAAAATTATGAAATTTCAAAAATAAACGTTCCAAAAATTAAATATTTATTATAATTAAATATTAGGAAGAACTAATCGAGAGCGAGGGAAATTAAATTTAGAGCGAGGGAAAATCAGCTGATCGATTTTCCCTCGCCCTAAATTAGAGCTTGTGAAACGACTACTTTCATTGATGTCAGCTGTTTTCGAAAATAGTTACTTTTGTTATGGAGTGATGAAAAATTAATTTAAACTTTAAAAAATTAACATGGCCCTTATGGGTTGCCATGCTGGTGACGAAATAACAACTCAATGTAAACAGAAAACCAAAACAAATGGAAGAAATTCCAATTACTTATTTCATTTACAGTGCAGGGTGAAAATAGAGAAGTCTGTACATTAAAAATGTTTGGTCGAGTTTTGACCTCGAGTTTTGGTCGACCACTGGACGACCTCTAGTCTATATATTAATAGGCAAACAGGATTCTTTAAAACCTTTTTCCTCAGCTCGTGTGCATAGCAGGGAAAATCTACGCATACTGTTTGTTAGATAGATATTTTCCTTTAGGTGTGCAGAATCCCTTTATAAATTAAAATAAACTAAAAAATAATCACGAAAAACGAATTTGAAATTTTAAAAGATTTACCTGGGCCTTAGGGAGTCACCATGATGATGACAAAAACAACAAAATATAAACAGAAAATCAAAACAAATCGAAGAAATTCCATGTTTTATTTACAGCGTGGGGTGAAAATAGAGAAGTATGTACATTACACATTTTAGGCCAAGTTTTCGACCACTGGACGACCTCTAGTTTGAATAAAAATACCTTATATACTAGAAAGAATTTGGGTGACACAATGAATAAAACGAATGGCTTTCATAGAAATTATTTTACACAGTTTTCGATTCAATGATCTGTACATAGGAAATACATTTGTCGAATTTACAAACATATTTCGTCAAAGAAAATTCGGTGGTTTATAAAAGAAATTTTAACTATACAATATACAGTATATAATACTCTATACACTAAGATTTCACAATTATACAACAACTTTGTTCAATCAATGTGGTCATTTGAAAACAAAATTATAAACTCAAGACTTTATATTTAGTTAAAATATAAACAGCATTGGTCGATAACCGTAACAAAACTATTTCGTTGTATTTACCTGCTTGCTTTAACGAGCAGTTTAATTGTACAAATTCTCTAAACGAGGGACTGTTAAAACACAGTGATACAAATACTATTAACCTATTATGAAAGCTTGAACTTTTGCTACAATATTTTCAGACTGAACTACATTACAAAAATAATAAACTATTACATAGTGTATGTTTTTCATATTATTTCATAATGCATTCGTTTGGTAAATAAACTTGAATAATTTAAGGCATTGTATAAATCATTTCGACTAAAATCCAAAGTATCTGCCATAAAAATTTAAACGTACTTATGCTTCCACAAGAGTAATAAGTAAAACAGCACTGCTTTTGTGTTTTTATAAAAATACTAATATAATAAATATTTAAATCATTGAATAATAACAATTATACATTATTGCATTAGATAATTCAAATTCATAGCTAATTTCATGTCTAGGAGTAAAGTCCCCTGTAAAAAAAGTATAAACACATATCAAACGCCACATTGAGAAAAACTGCTTTGGAATCTGTCAGACAGTGGACTTAATATTATTGCTATTCACAATAGTTGAGCAATAAATAAAAAATAACAACTACAATAAAGCCAAAGATATAATGCAATGTACAAAACAGTTCGATTTTATACGAACTCTGATTGTAGCTCTGGTCTTTGCAATTTTTTTTTTTTTTTAATTACAAACGTCGACAAACAATAATATCTATGTTCTCAACTTTGTCACTTAACATTGTGCAGTGGTCATGTTTCAATGCAAATATAAACTTTGTATTAAACTGCTGTAATTTAATTCTGAATCAAAAGTATTTTAAATGTAATGTTTATCCCAAAATTTAACTTCTTGGCAGATCAGACTTTATTGATGAATATTAAATTAAATTTTATTCAAACGCAAGTAAGCACTAACATGAGTTCTTAACACAAAAATTCAAAAATTTGGAAAAAACAAAGCTACAAAAAGAAAACAAATAGAGCACAGAGAAGAAGAACTTGTAAACTAAACAAGTAACTAAAGAAAATGCAGATTCGGTCTAGCGTACACTGCCTCTAAAGTACATATATACAGTGCTATGTACATGGTAGACAGACACTTAGGCCTAGTTATCGTCTAAAACTATCACATCTGTTAAAACATTACCTACATCGGATCTCAACAAAACGTTGGTATAAAATTCGGCTTCCGAAAATCCACATCGTAAATTTTCAAATCAAACTTAAATACAGTAGTAATATTGTGTATTCAATCAGTTAAAATAGATCGTAATGTACATCGAATTATTAGACTGTTTATCATTATGAAATTAGGTAGTTTATTGTATACTTTATTGAAGCAACAATGTTATACATTAATAACAATGTCATACCCGTTCATTAAGTACGAGATAAGTACTGTGGAAGCCGAGTGTGGATCTCAAGTTGAACGTTAGTCTCAACAACCCGCACAAAACAGTGCGTTGAAGTGTCGAGCGATCAACTGACATTTGGACAACTGGACTTTCGATCAACTGTCCAATCGGACAACTGCCCTGGCGGTCAACTGTCCTTCCGATCGAAAGTCTCAGTCTATCAAGTGGTGGCGAGCTGGCGCCAGAAGTTGTGTCACATCGAGTTCATGTAAGGCCAGCTGAAGCTGCTACCACTTAAGAGCATGTCTCGTATCAGCGTCTCTATAGGCGTTTTTCCGACTAGTCGCACGAAGAACAGCTGTTCGATCACCTGGCTGCTGACTGTCCGCAGCGAAGGCAGGCGCAACAGCAGTTTTCCGAACCTGATGGGCTGGTTGGGGTACTGTGTCCTACAGTATTCTTCCAGGGCGCACTGGGACTTCTCCTGAAGGCTTTCTATGTGCGAGACGTCCGAGAGACCGCAAGCATCTGGAACAAGAGGGAATTTTTGTAGTAGGTGTAAAAGTGCTGTATGTTGAAATTTCGTATGAATTGATGGGAGTCGTCCGATGTTGAGGAACGTGTTTAAACTCTCAAAGGTCCAGAGGTACTAGTTGTAGACATAAGAATACTCGCAGTATATGGTTCTATATTATTCATTTATTAGTATTCACAAATAAGGTGTCACATAAAATATGCCACTATTTAAAGAGGTAGCAAATAAAGCCACTACACGAGTAAGTTTATTTGGACGGAGCTTAAACAATTAAAAATCTATAATATGGACCATGTGAGACTTTAAATATTTGGCAACTCGAAATCACCAACCTACAAGTTATGAACCCTTTATCAATTTGGTATCATATAAGTATATTTTAGAAATATAATTTGGAGTCACAAAATATTCAATTACAAAACAATAGTTATTCGCTAACTGAAATTGGGTGACGTATAACAAAAATATATAAGGCAAATAAATCGTTGTTGGTTCGTTGAAGTAGTTATTTACATAGTGTATTATTGATTGAAATGAAAACAATTTAGGTGAGTGGCTCAGTTGATAGCACAAATAACTGTAAAACAGAGGCAGTCATGAAATTCGCATCCAGATCCCACCCCTTTTAACTTAACGTTTTAAATAGAGTACATTCTTATACTGCATGTATGTTTTACTTGATTCTTAAGTATGCAAAGGCCAATGGAATTTTGAAAGAAGCCAACAATCTACTAAAGATAATTTTAGCTCAAATAATCTTTAACTGAGTTATAGTAAACGAAACATCACTAAGGACGTATGAACTAATCATTATATCGTCCAAGCTACATTGTGGATCAAGGAAGGTAATTTTCGTCTGCCGCACAGGTGCCTTCGGCCGGAGAGGAACGGCGGAGGCAGCAAATTCAAATAGAAAGTTGCGGCTTCGTGCCGGAGGCTTTCCAATCGGTGAGATATGAATATTCCGACGATATACCTTCGAATCGATAATTACGCCGTCAGCTTTCACAACCGAGGCCCGATGTTACTCCTCGAGTCGCCGAAGGAACAAAGTAATATCGTAAACAAAGTTGAAAAACGCACCACGCTTAACATCCCTTGGATTCGGGTTGGACCGATTTATACCCAGGAACTTCCTGGGCCTGAGATTGGAAGTCATCATTGGGCTTAAAATAAATGATCCTGACAGATAAAACAGCTGTTCTTAGTCGGTAACAAAGCTACACAGGTCATCTCACGACATTCTACACTTATATTTGGGTTAAAATACGCACCAACGTTGCGTCCCATCGGATAATGATAATGATAAAAGCCACTTGTAATGCTTTAAACCCAAATAAAGTTGTATGTTTCGAAAAATAATTGTAACTGTCTAGTTTGCAATAATAGTTGTCACAACTCAACTAATGTACAAGTACTAGTATTTTTGACTAGTATACTGTACGTAGTAAATGCTAAGACGTACGAGAGGTAGGATGGAGGACACTTGTTATATGTACAAGCTTTGTTAGATAAGTCGAAAATGTTTTATTCGAATTGTGTAGAGATCAACTGTAAGAAAATGCAAAGCTTTTCTAAGTTTGTCTAGATAAATAAATATTTGCATTTAATTTCTTTAAACAATTGTATGATTTAATTGCCACGATATAATGAAGGGTTGTGCATTTTGGATTTACTTCACAAATCCTATCCTTTATGTTTAGGATTATTTTATCGTAACATTCTTTCTAACAGTTAAAACCACCTTAAACAGATCCTACAGTAAAAAAAAAAAAATGGTTCCCATTAGTTGGTAAAATACTTGGGTCTATTTTGAACGAAGTCCAATTTATGTATGTTAAAAACATCTTAGTCTAAAGTAGAGTAAGCCCAATGAGACATTGCTGAATTGACATAATTCAGTTTACGCATATGAGTAAATTTCTACTTTTAGAAGAAGAATGCTAAAACAAAGTACTGTAACACCAAAATTAGAATGTAACCCGAGACCTCGCACTTGACAAAACTAACCGAAAGAGCAGCGGAGCGAACCAACAACCTTGTGGCATTCCTCGCGATCAGCCATTACTGAGGAATCCGATTGGGAATCTTTAGCATTTTCAACAGATTCTGCTCGGTCCGTGACAATAGTTCATGCTCTGTCGAGCCTCACTAGATATTATTGCTGGAATGCTGTAAAAACCGAATGTGCATCTTGAGCGACCTCCGCCCCCAAGGTCCTCGTCACGACGGCGACGTTCCTCTGGCGTCTGGGCGCATCAGTGACCCACAATGCATCTGGCGTGAAATGTAATTTGTAATGAGATCGCATGCAGATGAAGAACCATTGAATTTGGATACAAGTACTCGCATTATAAAATCTGAAGCTTGTTCGGTGTATGGGTGTGCATTGATATGTATACTCTTTAAATGTTAGAGTAGGCTACGAGTATGTAATACTGTAAGAGTGTCTTTGGTGATAAATAATATGTTTACTATTCGTGCTCATGTCAAACAGTAGTGTATGCATAGTAAGGGTTATAGATTTGACTATGGTTACATTCAATGGAATACTCATGTCCGAGGATGTATCAGTAAAGTAATGTAAATAGGGGTTTCCAATGACATCCAATAGGCAATGTTGGTTAAAAACATTTTTATCTATCTTATAAGCTTTATTTGTATTTGAATGATTCTTCTATTTTGCAAGTTCTGTTACGATCGATTGTGCTAATGGCTAGTTAAATGTTTCTCTTTGATTAAATTTTACAGTGTGCAATATAAATTTGAAAATACTTTAAAGACTGATTCAATTTTAAAGTAAAAATTAGACCAACACATTGCAAAGCTTGGTACGAATACTCCATGCTCCATGGATTATTTTAGGAACTGTGGTTGAATATAAATTGAAAGAACGACCCCTATGATAATATTTAAACTGATGTTAGTCACACTACAGACAAAGATGTCCACACTCAAACAAATCCACCATACTGTAACTGATTTTAGTTTAAAAAATTTAATTGCAAACACAATCGATGAAACATAAATACAAATCAAACTTTTAGGTGAAAATTTTTAAACAAGATCTTTTCTCAAACTAACGCTTCGAGCACCAAACCTAAGAAGAGTCATGCATATTAAAAATGTACACTTGAATCCCAGACCAAACAAAATTTGTACCCTCATTACTTTTAAAAGTAATTTCCACCAAGTTACAAAATTACAAAGACTTGAGAATCAACAAACCAAATCAGTCTCAACAAAGTTCTTACTCAACTCTCGCTCAAAACTCGATCAAGACTTATTATTTTAATAATCTCAAAACCCTTTCCACAATCCGCGATGTTTTTGTGAATTCATTTGTCTCAGGTAAAGTTTGATTGTTGAATTAAACATTTCGCTTCTTTAATCAGCTGTCTATATAATTTGTCATTGTTGCAAAAAAACCACCAAAGAGTGGAAAGTTTTGTAATTAGCAAACAAGAGGAAAAGTTACTTGGATAGTAAAGTTTGATTACACCTTTAATCTATTCTTCTAAAATCCACCTTTAATCTTAAGTGATTACGCCTATAATCACTTTGGTGGTTTTTGTACATGTATACGACAGCAAAAAAAGAGTTAGGGTATGCACTGGGTTAAAATTCACTGGTCACCCCTAATAGAAACTGACAGAATATATTAGCTATGTGTTATGTTTACGTGGAAATGGACTAACTACGCTTTTATGTATGGTAATTTGTAACAAATGCAAAAACTAATGCACACATCGATTAGCTAAATGAAACAGAAGGCAAGAATATTCATACATATAACACGTGCAATTTTAACGCAAAAACATTACAGTTAACAATTTACCAAGATAATATGACGTAGAGGTTTTATTTATATTCGTTTTCGCTGAAAGTACAACGACTAAGCTTTTTTATAATAAAAGGGAAGGATGGTTCGAATAGAGCTTGAACTCTAGAGATAACATTGATAACACCGATTGGAAAATCTACAAAACAAATTACATCATGTTTCCGTTCTTTTAAATCTGTCTCTTGGACACTAGGCCTACTATGAGCCGGTATTGACTTATATTGCCCATCGTAACTACAAAACGAGTATATTTCTATTTCCCGTTGAACTCTGTACGATACCATAACCTCTATAAATAACAACAGTAATAATTATAACATGTAAGTAAGTTAATGTTGTTGAATAATTTAGTTTAAAATATTGAAAACTTTAATAAAACACACTACTGGCTACCCAAAAGTGTATAGCATTTCAACAACACACTCTATGAAATGTTTATTCAACTAGATTGACGTTATACTTGAGTGAAGACTGGTCATACGTATCTTTAAGTATCAAAAATTAATCCAAAAGGTACTAAATATACAAATAAGTACAGAACAAGAAACATAAACCATATTGGCAACAAGATCCGAACTCCGTCAAAAACTAGCCTCCCTCATCCTAATTATCACGACCCTCCCTTATAATTAATTTCCACCCCTAATAAAGGTCACATGCCCGACAAAAGACATGTCGCTGTTATAAATCAACGCAAGCTGTGGTTTTTAATAATAAAGAGGGCAAAGCAGAGCGTGGGGGGAGGCGTCAAATTGTTGCAAAACTGGGCTTTATTAGCCCTCCGGTCCAATCACCTGACCGATTGCATTTTTGTGATCTACATTTGCTCGTCGCTTTTTGCGGGGTTTCACCTCGGTTTTCCGCAATTCCAATTCAACTCTCAAAATCGGTGGAAACGAGTGTGACGATTGTTGTTGCATTGTCAAATTGAAAATGATAACCGAGTGATGAGTTCGTTTGGATTTGAAATTCGGTGGCGAACTTGTTGAGTATTTATGTGTATTGGTTGTGAGATATGTAGGCAGTTTTCAGTTTTTAAAACCTTGCTTTACAAACGCTTGTTGGAAGATTGCCATTACCGTGAGACAATGACGCAGACAAAATATGAATGCAGAAAGTATGGAAGTTTGATGATCTGTGTAGCGTAGC